AAACGATTATTATTTTAGTTTTATTATTTCCTAATGTTACATTATAAGAGATGTAAAGACAGTCTCCCGAAAACTTTAACCATGAATCATCATCCTGAGTATGGTATTGAAGAATTTTCTTTGTGGAAATTAAAAAAAATTGACTTCTCATACAAAATTGGTTACGTGACCGACCCATTTTGTATGGGAAATCGAATTTTTTGTTCATTTTCGGACAAAAATATTTTAGTTTTAGTTAAAGTTTTGTATATAGAGCCAGTTCACTCGTTTATTCGTTTATTGACAAAAAAAGTACACGAATAAATAATATTAATTAATAAACTTCCGCCCGCAGGCTATTTTCAATTAAATTAAAATTTTATAAATGAATATAATAAAAATAAACTGATTTTTCACCATAATATCCCAAATTCTTGTATTTTGTGTTCACCCTAATTAGAAAGAGACTGAGGGGTAATGAAAAATTTCAAGGTCGTTTTCTTGTATTTTTTATGTCATTCGAAAGTGCGGGTTCCAGTTTGTACGAAGTACATGTATTTCCATGCTTTGAAGACTGAAAGAAAGCTTAGCTGGAAAAGACTATGTGAAACTTTTAATAGATCTACTCCATTGACTAGAGTATGGAATTACATTAAAAAGTTTAACAAAACTTTTGTTCATAATAACACATCTGTCATAGATTCTAATTGGGCTAATGAATTTTTGAAAAAATGTACTCCAGAAACAGATGAAACACCTCTAACCCCTCACTCCTCAAATGATAATCATTGTGATTATCTTACCAAACCTTTTACCTTGACCGAATTCAATTCAGCTGTTAACTCTAGAAAAGACACTACTTGTGGTTTAGATTCTGTTCCATATAAAGCTTTAAAAAATATGAATACTGCGTGTAGAGAACTAGTTTTGAAAATATATAATATGTTATGGTTTCATTCACTTATTCCTAACGATTGGAAAAAAGATTGTTTGATACCCATTTTAAAGCCTGGAAAAAAACCTCACATTGCAGAATCTTACAGACCTATAGCACTTACATCTTGTATGGGTAAAATATTTGAGCAACTTACAAAATCTAGATTAGAATTTTATCTAGAAAAAAATTGTCTTCTACCATCAAATCAGTTTGGATTCAGACGCCGTTAGTCATCTAGAGAAAGTATTGCATTTCTTCATTTAGACATCTTTAAAGCTATGGAAAATAAAGAAGTATTAATTAGTATCGGGTTTTACAACAAGAACTTTGTTTTTCAATTGGGGCAACACCAAAAATATGACAGTTTTGACATTTAGTTTTTTGACCTATTCGTAGTAGATGCTTTGGCAATTGCTACAATGAATTCAATTTCGCTCGAAAATCGCATTTAAATAATTAAAATCCACTATGAAAGTGGTGGTTCTGTTAAACTTACGTTTCGTAAAATTCGTGATATTTTCGGACAACGTAATCGTCCTTCTGAGACTGCTATTAAGAATTTGGTCGCTAAATTTGAATCGACAGGCTCGGTACAAAATGCGCCAACACCAACGCGTGTTCGACCGGGTCGTTCAACCGAAAACAACGCAGCCGTGAGTCACAGTGTTGAAGAAGATCCAAATTTGTCAATTCCTCGACGTTCTCAACAATTGGGGTTATCCAAAACCACCACATGGCGAATTTTGCGTAAGGATTTGGCTTTGAAGCCTTACAAGGTTCAACTGGTGCAGGAATTGAAGCTGACCGACCATTCACATCGCCGTAGATTCGCTCAATTCATTCAGTAACAGCCCGCTGGTTTTTCTGAAAATATCATTTTTTCAGACGAAGCCCATTTTCACTTGTCAGGGTACGTCAACAAGCAAAATTGCCGCATTTGAGCTTCTGATAATCCTAAAGCGATTATTGAGAAGCCTTTGCATGCTCAACGTGTCACTGTATTCGGAATTTCGGTAACGGTCAATGGATCATGCTATCGCGAGATGTTAACATCTCAATTTTGGCCTATTATTGATGACATCGATATTACAAACATGTGGTTTCAACAGGACGGTGCCACATGTCACACAGCCAACGACACGATCAATTAATTGCAAACCGAATTTCCCGATCGCATAATTTCACGAAATTCAGCTGTTAAATGGCCAACCGGATCGTGTGATTTAACACCACTGGATTATTTTTTGTGGGGCTATGTTAAGGACAGAGTCTATACGGAGCCAATCGAATCGATTGTGGCCTTAAAACTCAAAATCCGTGACGTGATTAACGAAATAGATCCCGCCATTTTGCCAAAAAGTGATTAAAAACTTTGATGAAAGAATCGACATGTCAGCGTGGTCGTGGTGGACATTTACCAGATATCATTTTTCATTCATAATTGCCAAACTTTTCTCTTCGTAATACAATAAAAATTTGAATCATCTTCATCTAAACTCTTTGTTTTATTTTGTTTTAGAAAACAAAGTTCTTGTTGAAAAACCCATTATATTCTTTGACATTGTTGGTGCATTTAATAACGTTAATCTTCATGTACTCGCCGCAGAGTTGAGGTCTTTGGCCATTCCTGAAAAAATTGTAAAATGGATATTTAACTTTTTACATGAAAGAAGAGTTTTTGCTAAAGTTAATAATAATAATAATACAATTATTGGTCCTAGGCTCAGTTATAAAGGTGTTTGTCAAGGAGGAATATTAAGTCCTCTTATCTTTATTTTATACATATTTAAATTAAACAATATTTTAGGATCAAATGTTACTAATTTACAATATGCAGATGATTTGGTCATATATGCCTCAGGAACAAATGTCAAAAACTTGGTAACCACTTTAAATGAGGCTTTAAAGAAATTGCACATTTACTTTTCATACTTAAATTTAGATAATAGTACTGAGAAAAGTAAAGTCGTAATATTTAATAAAATTCGTCCATTTAACACTAGAATAATTTATAATAATACAATTTTACCAATAGAAAGTTGTGCAAATTGTGTAATTCTTAGGTGTAATTTTTACAAATAATTTATCTTGGACCAAATACGTGAATTCTATATCAGACAGAGCTTCTAAGGCCTTTAATGTATTAAAAGCTTTGGCTAGTACTAACTAGGGAGCTGATCCAGAAATATTATTAATGTTATATAAGTCTTTGGTGAGGAGCCATTTTGAGTACGGCTTTCTTTGTTTTGCATCAAATAAAAAACTAGTAAACAAATTAGAAAATATACAAAATAAGAATTTAAGACTTATTACCGGCTCTATAAGAACAACTCCTATTGTTTCTTTACAGGCTGAATGTCTTACTCCTCCTATCTTACTTAGGTTTAAATATCTGAAATTTAGGTTTTTATTAAATATTAATTCTTTATCTCATCATCCTCTTTTTCAAAAAGTATTATTTTAGTATAATAGTATGTCTCCTATATCTAACTCAGCCCCATATATATATATACTCCATGACTTTCATGAGGTGATACGATGTGATGAGCAACATAATATTCACAAAAGCACACATACTTGGCCTTGTTATAAGGGGAATTATGAAAGTAAATTCAGTGATATACACATAAATATTGATGAAAAATTGAAAAGAAAAGAAGAGGTTTATGAACTTATATCTACATATGATGAATATCGACAAATTTACACAGATGGTTCAAAAGTTGAAAATAAAGTAGCCTGTGCATTTTACATACCTCATCTGAAAACTGGACGTGGCCTTTCCATTCCTGCATTAGCAAGCATATACACTGCAGAATGTTATGCTGTCTTAATCGCTCTTAAATATATAGAAGAACACCCACATGTATCTAATAAATGGTTACTGATCTCTGATAGCATGAGTATCTTGAAGGCACTGAAAGCAAGAGCTTTAGATGCTAAAACATCTTTCATCATATATGAAATCAAAAGTTTGTGGTGGAAATTGAAAGAAAATAATTTGGAAGTAAAATTTTTATGGACTCCGTCACATATTGGGGTTCAAGGAAATGAAAGAGCAGACCATTTAGCTAAAAGTATAGTTACAGCTGATATTGACAGGATAACCGATGTTGCAATACCACATACAGATTTATATTCAATTTTAAAGCAAGAGTTAAAAGAAGAATGGAAAATGCAATGGAATGCTGTTTTAGAAGCAGGAAAAGGTCTTTGGTATGCATCAATTAATTTAGAATTAATTATTCCTTGATTTTCTCGCAACGAGAGATATCATAGCAGAAAATTTTATACAATAATGTGCAGACTTAGATTTGGCCACTATCGACTGAACGCTTATCTTTCCAGGATGAGAATAGTAGCATCTGCAACATGCAATTTCTGCGATACAGAAGCAGATCAGACTGCAGAACATATAATATTTAACTGCCCGGCGTACGCCATAAAAAGATTGCTACTCATTGAAAAACTTATACAAGTTTATGAAAACTCAGAAAGCGTCCCGCGTGCCCTGCAAGATGTTCTTAGGAATACTAAGACATATTTAGCACTTTGCAATTTTATTCATAATACTGTAAAAGAAAAATGGTATCCCTGTTTTTGAAAATATTGGATTGACAAATCTACATGGATTGAAACTTACAAAGAGTATAATATAAAGGAGACTTGGCTTTAGCCTTTACGGGTTTTTGAAAATATGAAGAATTAAAGAAAATAAGACTTGACTACGGCCTTTATGGATTTTGAAGAGATGGAAAGAAGAAAAATAAGACTTGGTTCCGGCCTTTACACTCTAAAATTCTATATATTCAAAATAAAAAAGACAACGCTGTATGGCTTAGTTCCTTTGCCTGCTCTCTCGAGCGAATAATAAAAACAACAACAAACAACAACATTGGCAAATGTCAATGTCAAGTCAAATTTACAACTTGCTAAATATTTCTATGAATTACAAATATTTAATCATATAATATTGACGAATGCATTAAACCGCTAAGATTAAGAAGAAAAATAATTGAATAAAACTATAAAATATTATTTATTGAACATTGCTAAACACACATATGTCACAAATTAAGAAACAATGATTGAACTTTCAGCCAAGTTAACCACAGGTACCGTTTATTTAGCTGGAGAAGCATTAGAATGTTGCATTACATTTTGCCACACTACTCAACCAGAACACTGGAATTCACAAAGCCACAGGTACAGTTTAAAATATTTAAAATCACCCTACATTCTTAAAAAAAATTAACTTTCAAGTTCCTTACAGTGATATTTTGGAAAACCTAGCATGGGCTTCAGCTCAAATACACTGTTTCTATTCAACTTCGGGTAACTCTAGTGAAAAAGCGGTTAGTGTAGAGAAGACAACTGCACTGGAAGTTACATCATGTGATATTGGGGATGTTGTATTCCATACAAAACCAAAAATATTATTTTGTGACCTAACTATTCCACTTGGCGAAACCAAAACATGTAAGTATATTTTTTATTTTACATTTTTAGATATTTTTTAGATAGATTTAGATTGCATGATTTTTGTTACACTGTTAATAATATTACTAGAAAATGTTAAGGAAAAAATATATTATGGTATTGAGAATTAATCTACAATGTAAGCTTGTTGTTATACAGAATCAATTGTATTTTATACAGCAAAATTTTATCAATATTTATTTATATTTAATTGTTATAGAAAACATAACTTTTTATGAGGTCTATTTTAATAATAAATCTTATATTATAAGATATAAACTTAGATAAAAAATATATTTGTAACAAGAGAAATTAAAAAAAAAAACGTTTTTTTATTAATCATATTCTTGCAATATGATCCGAATTTGAGCTATATTCAAAACTAGCTTATACCTGCTCACTTCGCTGGGCACACAAATATTAAAATATTAAATGTTAAATTACAGTTTGGTATAGAGAATCTTTGCCAATTGAAGCTGCACCGTCGTACAGAGGGACAACAGTTAAATATTCATACAAAATAACAATAGCAACACAAAAAGTTGGCTCACATATAAAGATGATGAGAATACCATTCAGAGTGTTGCCAATAAGCCCCATAATCAATATGCAAGACTTAGCAGCACTTTGTGGTAATGAGACAACTGAAGAGTTACAACCTACAAACCCATTTTCAGAAGAGAGAAAAGTTGAGACACCATTGACTATGGCCCTACAAGTTTTACAGGTAAAGAGGATGATTTCAAAAATAATTTAATCATCCTAAGTTCATTCTGAGCATTGCTTATATAGTTATTATGTTATTAGCATCTGTCTCATTTTGAGTTGTAGGTAACTGACACCTGTTGTCCCATCCTTACATACTTCTCACTGTTAATTGATATTTTATCTGTTTAATTTCTTAAAAAATATTTTACAGTGAAATTTTAATTTATGATGTCCCACACTAATACAGGCATAGCTAGATGGGATTTACCTCTACATTACTGATGATTTTATATGATTACAAAAGATAGAAAATTGAGAGAGGCAACCTTAGGAATATGTCTTCCCTCATCAAGCATTATTGTGTGCCTACATTGTTTTATACTGTGAATTTTGTAAATTAATTAGCATGGAGTAGTTTTAGTTATCTTTATCATAACATTTTGATTAAATTAATGACAAATATTGTTAAAGTTTAAAGCACTAGTAGTGTACCTGCACGCTAAGTAAAAATGAAATAGTAAAAGCAGATTAAAGTTTAGTATGGAGTTTGACTCCCTTTTGCTAAAATCACAGCTTACATTCGTCTGGGCATGCTAGCAAGTAAATCTCTTATGGTTTCTTGTGAAATATATCCCCACTCTGCGGTAATCACATTCTTTAGCTGTCTGATGGACTGCGATGCTGGCATCACTGATCTATCTCGTCGCTTTAGAATGTCATAGACATGCTTATGGGATTTAGGTTGAAATTTCGAGCTGGCCACTCCAAATGACAAATTCTGACCTCTAGCATATACGCTTCTCCATGCCAGACCGATGGGCGAGAACGTTGTTGTCATAAAAAAATGAGTTTTCACCAAGTGCGGCTAATGCGTGTTATGAATGGAGAATTAGAACTTCCGTTATGTATCGGTGTCCAGTCATTGCGCCGTTTTCAATGATAACTAACTTTGTACGATCCATCGAATTTATTCAAATGTGATTTCTTCAAAACATGCCTCTGCAGAGGATTCTACTTGTCTTTGTAACACTTGTGGAAGTCGGTCTTCACTGTACAGAAATGTTCTCGCTTCATTTGAGAAAAATATCCTATCCCAGTCTTCTTGAATCCATGACACATAATTTTGAGCGAAGCTAAGCCTGACAACACGGTGATCACAGAGTAATTCAGGTCCATGAGCTGGGCGATTACTGCTTATATCGGCAGCAAGAAGCCTCTACATAACTGTCCATATACTAATTTGCACATTCCTTACTTCTAGGTTGTTCTTAGGTTCACATACAAAGATTCTCTTTTCCAAACGAAAATGGCTTTCTTTCAAAACTAGGCCTTCTCTTGACAGAATGTCTCTTGATAGCGCTGCCAGGTCCTTTAGACTTTAAATTGTCTCAAGGAAATGAGATAATTCAATAAAAATGAAAAATCTTTAAAAAAACAGCCTCAGGCGAAAATTTTAATTTGGCCAGTAACAGGTTTAAGTTATTAAAACCTTTTTCCTATTGTATCACTCATTTGCAGTATACTTGAAAAAATTTTTGTTTTTGTGGAATAAGTGTGACTAAGATGAAATGCCTTTTCCAGTAAAAAGGGTCTCCGGTTCTCTACACTCACCATACGAAACACCTGCTATTTTACGTTGGTATTCTGTGACCTAAATAAAAAAAATTAGGCAAGTTCCAATAAACATTAGTAAATAGTGTCAATAAAATTTTGTTGGATATAAAGTTATTATAGGCTAATATTTATAAACAGTTAGGAACTAATTATTAGTTAGAAGTTAAAACTCATTTTAAGTTCTAAATTTAATGAATAATATAAAATGTATATGAGTCACAACAATACACAGAAATAGTGAACATATCTGCCATATTCTAGATTCATACCAGTTCTAGACTAATATTAAAATCTATTATTTACATAATATTAACTATTTGTTTCTAGAATTGAATATATTGTTTTTTCTTTATGGCTACTACACACTACACAACACCATTCAATTAGATACATTTTTTCTCAAACATTATTTAAGTGTTACAAGTCTTTAATATTTTAGAGTAAAAATCTAATTTAAGTGCCCATTTCTGAAACCTACATTTTTTTCCTACAATTATCATTTGTTAAATCAATTTTTCTTCTCAATAGATCGTATGGTTTCTTTAGTATTTTTGATATGTTACAGAATCTTACAGCAAGAAGGAGTCCCAATTCATATATGATAACCAATACCCGTGGGAAAGTTGGTCGTTTCTGTTTATTTAAATCTGCTTACAAATTGGGAGAAGACATTGTTGGCACTTTTGATTTCTCCGTCGGCACTGTGACATGCATGCAGGTATCTGCACTTTTATGAATTACTACTTAAAAGAAGACAGATATACCTAGTCAGGTCATAAGTATTGTCACACAGTAAAAACTTTACTTTTAGAATGCTGGTCACAAAAAAGTTTATTGAATTCGAATTTCGAATTGTTCATGAAAATAAAACTGTATACTTTTTAGAATTTTACTCATTTTTAAATATGGAGTGGACGCTTAAAGAAGACCGTGTTGCAGTTATTGCGTTGCATCGTTGCGGTTACGCGCCAATTCAAATTTTTGACATACTGAAAAATTTGAATATAACCAAAAGATTCGTTTATCGTACCATCAAACGATACAATGAACACTCTAGTGTAGATGACAGGTCAAGAAGTGGTCGCCCTCGGTCTGTTAGGATTCTAGCAGTGATAAAAGCTGTGAAGGCGCGAATTCAAAGAAATCCCAAACGAAAGCAGAAACTGTTTGCCCTTCAGATGGGGTTAAGTAGAACCAAGGTGAAAAGGGTATTAAATGAAGACTTAGGACTTCGGGCATATCGAAGAAAAACTGGACATCGTTTGAATGCTCGTCTAATGGACCTGAGACTGATGAGATTCCGCGCTTTATTGAAGCGGTACGCGGGAAAAAAATATCGGGAAATTCTTTTTTCGGATGAAAAAGTTTTTATCGTAGAAGAGAGCTACAACAAACAAAATGATAAGGTGTATGCACACAGTAGTGAAGAAGCGAGCAACCGTATTCCGCGTGTCCAATGAGGTCATTTTCCATCCTCGCTCATGGTATGGTTGGGAGTTTCTTATTGGGGCTTAACAGAGGTACATTTTTGTGAGAAAGGTGTAAAAGCAAATGCAGTTGTGTATCAAACAAACAAAATGATAAGGTGTATGCACACAGTAGTGAAGAAGCGAGCAACCGTATTCCGCGTGTCCAACGAGGTCATTTTCCATCCTCGCTCATGGTATGGTTAGGAGTTTCTTATTGGGGCTTAACAGAGGTACATTTTTGTGAGAAAGGTGTAAAAACAAATGCAGTTGTGTATCAAAATACAGTCCTGACGAACCTTGTGGAACCTATTTCTCATACCATGTTCAATAACAGGCACTGGGTATTCCAACAAGATTCGGCGCCAGCTCATAGAGCGAAGAGCACACAAGATCGAGCGCACAAGTCGATTTCACGCGCCGCCAGCCAGTGGCGGCGCGTGAAATCGACTTCATCCGGCACGAACACTGGCCCTCCTCCAGTCCAGATTTGAATCCGTTAGATTACAAGATATGGCAACACTTGGAGGAAAAGGCGTGCTCAAAGCTTCATCCCAATTTGGAGTCACTCAAGACATCCTTGATTACGGCAGCCGCCGATATTGACATGGACCTCGTTCGTGCTGCGATAGACGACTGGCCGCGCAGATTGAAGGCCTGTATTCAAAATCACGGAGGTCATTTTGAATAAACTTTAGTGTCATAAGAATCTATGTTTTGTTAAGTTCATTTTGGTATATAAATGGTTACATAATGAATAAACTTGTTTCAATTATTTTATATTAAACATGTGACAGAATTTATGACCTGACTAGGTATTTTATATTTATATTACTATGTAACATTTCCTAATTTCCTTATAGCGCATGGCTATCCAAAAGAAATATTAGCTTATTTATACCATAAACATTAAAAATATATTATATTATGTTTTGTATTTAGCCGTGTGGTAACAGCCTAAGGCTCGCCACATACATACGGAATTCCGTTTCGAGATTCAGATTCGGAATTCCGAACGGATCGGCCACACATACGGAATCCCGTTTTGTCCGCAAAATTTCGAACGGAAAACTACCGTACGTGTGTGACGGGCCATAGATTTTATATGGACTTCTGCGTTCGGGATTCCGAATCGGAATATCGAAACGGAATCCCGAAACGGAATTCCATATGTATATGGCCGGCCTAAGAGAATCCATCATCCCATTTCTTTCTGTAGGTATCATAAGAGGCAACAATGAAAAATGCTAAAAAACCATAGCTAAACTCGGCTAGACTTGTGAAGGACAACATTCTCACATTAAAATAGCAACTTAATCCTTCTGTGTAGAGAAACGAAAACCTTTTTTACTAGAAACAAGGCCATGTTAGTTCTGACGGGTGACAGTGCATCGGAATTTTGTTATCTTTTTTATAGGATAGGTGACAAACGAGCACACAGTCCACCTGACGGTAAGTGGTTGCTGTGACCCATAGACATTTACATCTATCCTCAATAAAGAATCAAAACGCAGATGCGTGGTCACCTGTGAGGACTAAGATGAAATGCCTTTTCCAGTAAAAAGGGTCTCCGGTTCTCTATACTCACCATACGAAATGAAACAGTGTTAAGCTGCTGTTTTACGCTGGTATTCTGTGAGAGCGTGGTCCTTCCCCGGTTGAGCCGAGCCATTCGTGCTACAACTATACTACTAATATAGCTGCATCATGGCACTACCACGTAAAAAAATTGAGCATAAATTTAGTTGCCTATGGGCCTACAGCAACTACTTACCATCAGGTGGTCTGTGTGCTTGTTTTGTCACCCTTATTCTATAAAAATGGCATTATAACCATCTAGTTTACACCAGATATAACATACCATACATGACCATCCAACCTGCAAAGTGTGTTGATTATGGCCAATCCTAAACAAAAATAGGAAAAGCCCATATCCAGCAGTGAACTCTTAAAAGACTGTTATGATGATTATGACTAAGATCGTATTATATTAATTTTTATGAATATTTTACAGGTTTCAGTATCTTTGCAGCCCGAAGAAATAATAAAGTCTAAATCACCAGCAAAGAATGTAAATAAAGAGTCCAGCAGTAGATCAATGACAGTGGCCCGGTTTCATGAAGTGACACTCGGGTTAACGCATTCTGAACTCATTCTTCCAATACCTCTACACATCACTCCAGCATTTGATGTTAATGAAGGTAAAACAATACAGAATGAAAAAAATAGGAATCAATTTTTGGTTAATAATATCAGCATTTGAACACTATACATACTACATTCAAGTATTTGCTGAGCAATTTTTCTGATAGACCTTATTACAACTATTTTAGTATAATAATTAATAATATGTGAATGTGAAGTGAAGGATGGAGGTAATATCAAGATAGTTTTATCAATAAAAAACATATCGATAAAAAAGTCACCAATTAAAAAGTGTCATCTGCAAACAAAATTAAATTTGATTTTGCTAGACATTTTTCCTTAGTTCTAACAATATCAAGAAGTGACCTTGGTCACAGAATAAATAATACTACTACATACAGAAATTGCACTTCGTTGATGTTGACTACTTCCGACGTTTTAATAGCCTACATTCTTACACCACAACATACACAGCTACATAAAAAGAATTATTTGTAACAAAATTCTACTAAATGAAAATACTGAACAAAAGATAATTTTTTTTTCTAGTGTAATGTTATAGTTTACGTCAAATATTTCATAGCTATTACTTTAAGTTTGAACTGTAGTTAATTAAAACACTTCTCCCATTATTGTAGAAAAGGATGTTATCAAGAAGAATTTTGCTCTTTTTTATTTCTGGTGCAATTTTGATAACAATCGCATGTGTCTCAGATGATTCGTGATTGGATTGAAAAAGCAGCACTTAGCACGCAAAACACCACAGATCACATTTGTAAATACTTAAAAAAATACTAAAAAGTTTATAAATACATGAAAAACTAATTTCTTGGTAATAAAATTATTAGTAAATACAAACATGTCTAAATTAGTATAACTTGATGTTGCCTGGACTTGTAAGATAGTTATAATACAGCCAAATTCAAAAACCTATATATTCCGAAATATAATGCCATATGTTATTACATGAGGCAAAATAAACTTATAAATTTTTAATTTTTTTTTTTAAATTACAGTGTCATTAAGATGGCGTCTTCACTTTGAATTTGTGACTACAAATGAAAACCTTTCCCCCAGTTCTGAAGATAATGATTGGAATGCTCCACTCAATGTGCCCATAGAAACTATGGTCTGGAATCTTCCAGTTAAAATTTACTCTACATTACCAAAGCAGATAACGCAACATTCAGTTGGCAATGATGCTTATACATTGTACATTAAATAGATTCAAATGGTTTTTATTATAAAAATAAACAACATACTGTAAACATTCATATTTTAATCTTATAATATATAAAATTATGTACATACTTAATGTTAATAAAGTTTAATTTTTTATTTAATCATCAGTAGGTTCTTTGTCCCAGTCTTTCATTTTTGCTCCCATCATAAAGTCATCTCTGTAAAGAGTTAAGTTTTTATTAGTATTGTAATAGTTTTTTTTGTGATATAACCATGCTGCATCACAAATATGTGTGACCTCTACTAACCAGATGAAATGTATAATTATATTATATCACCCTTCTGAAATAAGAGCTATTCTTATGTGAAAGTAAGTATTTCATTAACATTTCAGCTTAAAGTCCACTACTGAACATAGGCCTCCCCATAGATTGCCTCATAGGGGGAATATTTGCCATAGTTGCCAAGCTAGGGAAGCATGTTGGCAACTGCAGTTTTTTTTATTTTTAGTTATTAGGAAGATACTGCAGCCCATCTCCTGATTTGTTTCCCTCTGTTGCCTCTTACGACACCCACAAGATAATATGGGATAGTGGTTATTCTTACACTGCCACTAAATGAATAAGTGTATGGAATGTGTTTCCTTAATTCCATTAATATTATTTTTATTCGGAGCTACATATTAGCTCAATCAAACTTTTTTTATTTTTCGTTTTTCCATAATATGACCTAGCCGAAGGATCTAAAGCACAATCAACATTTATTAAATTATATAAAAAATAGCACCTTAAAGCATTCCATTTAGGTTTTTCTTCTTCAGCTTTAACTTCATTTTTTAAAGACTGTGTTTGTTCATCCACAACTATAGACTTTGTCTGACCCATTAAGGTATCTAAAAATGCCCTCTTATCAAATTTTTTCAAGATCTTCTCTTTCTTGGCTTCTGTTAAATCTTTATTTAATTCTTTTTCTAATGTCTTCTGTTGGTTCCTTACTGCATTAAATAACTGTACCACACCTTTAGTTGCTATTTTAGATAAGAGTCTCTCCCTGTCCTTCTCTAAAATGTTTGGTTTAACTCTAATAGTTGATTTTTCATGTCTCTAAAACATTGTTACACCTTTCAAATTTATTATATTAAAAGCACTTACAGAGTTACAAAATAATTACATCTATAGGTATGCAATAGTAATTTTTGTTATGTGAAGTACTTACTGCTAAAAATATGATTTAGATGTAAAGCAACATGTTAAATAACAGTATATAATGTTACTAAACTAACTTTACAATGATAATATCTTATTATCTTGCATGCAAGGGGCAAATTTTGGTCAGTATGAAAGTTATAGATATAGTACAAATATATAGGAAGTAAAAATAGATAATGATCTACACTTTACCACTATTTCTTTATTTATATACTTACTAGCTGTTCCCCGCGACTTCGCCCGCGTGTTAGAGTTTTTATGTTTTTGCGCGGAACCCTAATTCTTTTTCTAAAATAAAAGTAGCCTAAGTTACTCCTTATGAAATCAGCTATCTACCAATGAAAGTCCCGTCAAAATTGGTTCAGCCGTTTCTGAGATTAGCCAGAACAAGCAGACAGACAGACAGACAAAAATTTTAAAAATTGTATTTTAGTTATAAGTACCGTATTTACTTTCATACGCATTTAGTAAAAGACTGTAATTTTGACATTACAAACAGACACTTCAATTTTATTTATTTGTATAGATGATGAAAAAACAGTTTTGTTTGTTACAAGTGTCAAATGGTACAAACCATAACCTATATATATGTATATATAGCTAATTGTAAGTTGATACGTGGTAGAGCCATGCTGCAGCTATATTAGTAGTATAGTTGTAGCACGAATGGGTCGGCTCGACCGGAGAAGGACCACGCTCTCACAGAATACCAGCGTCAAATAGCAGCTTAACACTGCTGTGTTTCGTATGGTGAGTGTAGAGAACCGGAGACCCTTTTTACTGGAAAAGAGGCATTCCATCTTAGTCCTCACGGATGACAACGCATCTGTATTTTGATTCGCAAACGAGGATAAACGTAAATGTCTATGGGCCACAGCAGCCACTTACCATCAGGTGGACTGTGTGCTCGTTTGTCATCCTATCCTATAAAAAAAAAAAGTTGATGCAGTGACGCAGACTTTAATCTTGATTAAGAATAAAGATGCAGATGTGTTCTGTCTGTATCTATTTTGCATAATATGGTGAGTGTAGAGAACAAAAGACCCATAGATTAATGATAAGTCATCGCGCGCTCTGACTAGATACCGCCGGCGCTCATGTAAAATGCGGCAACAAATACTACGCCGCAATCGGCGTTCCCGAGCCAGTCGCGTTGCAGGCAACGTGTGAGGTGAACGTACCGAATGTTTTATTAAATTTTGATCATTATCCACAGTAAAATACCAGTTTACGTATTGAAACTGTGTAAAAATAATACTACAAGAAATAAGAAAGACACTGGAATCACATACTATCATTAAGTATCATACAATTTCGAAATTTTAACATAAAATAACACGAGCTATAAATAAGTCACAAAATATCAATGACGCTATTCAGTGTTGCCGCGAATGCAAAAATAAAGTTCCCCGTGGCTGAGATTTTTATATGTGAATTTATTGTTACAATATTTTATAATATAATATATTAAACTTATTATAATATAACCTAATTTTATATTATTTAATGTTTATTTCTGTAGTATTGCTCAAATGACATAATTGCCATTTTTAGAATAGAATAGAATGATTTTTATTCAATATGGATTATTACATAATACTTATTGAAAGTCATTATTTTATATACCACTGGTTCGGAGAATACCTCTGTCCTGGGAAGAACCAGCAAGAAACCCAGCGGGACCTTTTTAGGGTTCCGTACCCAAAGAGTATCAACGGGACCCAAATCTCCACAATCGTTCCATCTGTCTGTCAGTAGGCTGTATCTTATGAACCGTAATATGTAGAATGTTCACAGAATGTGTATTTATATTGCTGCTATAACAACATAAAATAAAAAATAAAACAAGTAAAATATTAAAGGACCCAAAACAATCACGTATGAAGACCATACAAGAAACGTGATTTTTTTCTGTATTGATATGTGTTTTGTTTACAGACTAAAGCGAAACCTGGATTAACACGAAATAAAATGATGCTGTGTGTATGGTGGTATTGAAAGTTTATCATGAGCTTTTACCGCCGGATAAAACCATCGATTCGGATCTCTACTACCAATAAATAATGAGACAAGCAAGAAATAGAAAAAAAAACGCCTGGCATTGATAATCAGAAAAGGAGTGGTCGTTCATCATGATAACGCCAGATCACAAGATTAGTTATCTGTTTGAGACTTTCAATACACACTAACATTCCTAAACAAAATTAAATACATAAAATACACAAAGCTCCTTAAAAAATGTTTTCGCCTTTCTGAAAAAATTAATAACTATAAGTTTGTGGAAAAAAATAAGTAAAAAGCTGCTTGGAAAGTCGTTAAACAGGGATCTTATAAAAGTAATAAAGACTTATTTACGAGTATAAATGGAATAGAGGTTGACAATAAATTAATTACAGATCCTACTAAAATCGCCGAGTCATTTAATAAATATTTCTTTAGTCTTACTAATAGATCTCCCACTAATAAATATATTAACACAAATAAAACTACTATATCTAGAAGTATTTTTTGAAGCCATATGGTTATGCCGATGTGATGAATATAATAAAGTCATTGAATGACACAAACGCAGTGGGATATGATTCAGTTTCCATGAAAATAATAAAATGTTGCAGTAAAGAATTAGTACACATTTTAACCTACCTCATTAATCTTTCTTTTACTAATGGCAACTTTCCAGAGAGTTTAAAGAAATCCATAATAAAACCGCTCCATAAAAAAGATGATAAACGTCATATGTGTAATTATCGCCCCATAACTTCAGTGCCTATTTTTTCCAAAATATTTGAAAATACAAATTGTACAAGCGTATAATAGAATTCACCTCAAAATTTAATATAATAATAAATTAACAATTTGGATTCCAAAGCAATAAATCAACTACCCATGCATGTTTTCATTTTGTAAAAAACAAGGCATTCCATCTCAGTACTCAGGGGTAACAACGCATCTGCATTTTGATTCTAAATTGAGGATAAATGTAGATGTCTATGGGCCACAGCATCCACTTACAATAAGGTGGACTGTGTGCTCGTTTGTCACCCTTATTCTATAAAAAGAAAAAAATATTTAAAATGTGTGAAATGTTTTTAATATTCGCTACATGTATCGTACGCGATATAAGTATTCTTTTTGGAATTTTTTTTCACACCTTGGGTTTACATTAACGAAGTTTTAATACGGAGCCCTAACTTTTTTGAAAATATTATATAGCCTATGTTCATCATGGATAATGTAGGATTCTAATGGTGAAAGAATTTTTCAAATCGGTCCAGTGGTTTCGGTGCCTATTCAATTCAAACAAACAAACAAACAAACAAATCTTTCCTCTTTATAATAGTAGAGTGTGGAAGTGTAGATGTTGTTAATAATTTAGATGACAAAAATCACACTTCAGTAATATTCATAGATATGAGTAAAGCCTTTGATTTCGTTTCACACAAACTTCTACTAAACAAACTCGACAACTTAGGCATTAAATTGGATAGAATCATATCTTACAGATCGAAAACAAAGTGTTGAAATTTCAAGGTTAAGTTATAATAAAGAACATGAGCAGTATAAATCACCGTACCTAATTAATGGATATGGCGTGCCACAGGGCAGTGTACTTGGTCCACTTTTGTTTTTATTTTATATTAATGATATCTCTTTTGTAACGAATAATTTATTGACTTTATTTGCAGATGATATTGCTATGCAAATGACATGTAACAAAAAAATCAGACATTGGTAAATTTGTAAATGACATTAATAATTCTTTGAAATTTATAATTCAATGGTTAGAACATAATAATTTACACATAAATATAAGCAAAACCAAGTTAATACAATTTTTTTATAAAACAAAATAATGAAATAAAGCAAAATATTGTATACAATGGCGAACAAATAAAACAAGTACAAGAAATTTCCTTTCTCGGTATACATATGGATATATTTTGTAACTGGAAAACCCACATAGAAAAAATATGTAATAAACTTAACTGCTTTGTTTACTTATTACGGAACCTTACAAAGACGGCATCGCAATCAACAGCGGCGTATTACGGATACGTTTATTGTATACTTAGCTAAGGTATAATAATATGGGGAAATTCTGTAGACATCAATAGTTTTCATTGTGCAAAAAAAATGTCTATGTGCAATATGTAATATGGCCCCTCGTGAATAATGCAAACCAATATTTATAAATTTAAAAGTGTTAACACTTCCTTGCATATACATCCTTGAAACAGCAAAATTTGTCAAAAATATTTCTGAGCTGTTTACAACTGCTGGAGATATTATCAAGTCCAAACATTTAAGGAATCCAGATAAATTAGTCATTGATAAAATACCAAAAACAGTAAATTATCATAGAAATTGCTATGCAATGTGCATAAAAGTGTTTAACGCAATACCCAATAATATAAAATTAAAACTACCAAGGAAGCGTTTCAGGAACGAGTTGAAAAAGTGGCTAGTTAATAAATCTTTTTATTTGGTTGGTTAGAAAAACAATAATTATCATTATTTTTTTTAAATAATAATATTTTGGTAATTATATATTATAATGTGACATGAAATTATAAATATTAATGATATGATAATGCAAATAGTAGTAAATGTTTTTTTTTTTAATTAGGTCACTTTCATTTTTTTTTGTTATTGCTATTTATTATGCAATGTATGTATTTTTTTATGTAATTTTAATTCATAATGTCATACTTAATGTTTATAAAATTCAATAATTTTGTACACCAGAAATGGTTAATGTGTTGTACTATCATTCTATAACATCTGTAAAACACACAAATTTTATGCAAAATAAATAAATAAATAAAAACCCAGTATTTGCTTGAGTACTTAAACCTGGTTTAAATGTTTTAGTCATTATTTTCTTTAAGTTGCTTGTGTTCTTTAAAAGATAGCTTTCTGGAGGTTTTAATATTTAAGTTTATAATTTTTTTTCCATTATAAATGGGATGACTAAATCTATGTTCCTTCAAATCTCTGGTATTGAATATATCAAATAAAACAACTTGTCGCATTTTTTTAATCAAAATCCCAAGATTTCTACAGCAACATTTATTTTTTATTATGTCACTACCTACAAGATGGTAACAAATTATTGAACAGAATTGACCCATATATATAATTAAATGTAATAAAACTTTAAAACAAAAACGTATCGAATTTGTATACAATATACGAAGAAACTTTTTCCCCAGTCTTATATACTAACTAAAGGTGTAACAAAATAATATTTAATAACTTAGGGAATGATTCTGCCCGTCAACATGAATATTTTTTATTGTGGGATCATCTTCAAAATTTTTAATTTATACGTGATAGACCCATACTGCAGCTATATTACTGGTATAGTTGTAGCACGAATGGGTCAGCTCGACCGGGGAAGGACCACGCTCTCACAGAATACCAGTGTAAAATAGGAGCTTAACGCTGCTGTGTTTCGTATGGTGAGTGTAGAGAACCGGAGACCCTTTTTACTGGAAACGAGGCATTCCATCTTAGTCCTCAGGGGTTGCAACGCATCTGCATTTTGATTCTTAACTGAGGATAGTTGTATATGTCCATGGGCCACAGCAACCACTTACCATCAGGTGGACTGAGTGCCCGTTTGTCACCCTGATCCTATAAAAAATATCTCAGTCAGTTATTCCATACAAAATTTCGTACAAACTTCGCTCAAAATGTATGGAAGACCTGATTTTTCTTGCGATTAGGAAGATAGATCTATAGTAAAAGTTGTTCATATTGACGCATAGAATAGAAAGCCCTATTTTGATTACGCCATATAAATAACTATTTTTTTAAATAATTTGTGAATATTAGTTAGACATGTAAATAAAAAAATTAAACTGATAAAAAGGAGGCCTTATCATTTATATGTCATTTATTCAGAAGAAAAACCTATACATAAAATACACAAATATATAAATACATTCGTTATTAATAAACTATTCATTTTTAAGTATTTCTTGAATACATTCATAACTATGAACGTAACTACTAAGCCATAGCATAAAATAAATTTTCCCATTAATCGGGTAATAGTTAAGCTGATGGCATATACAATTTTTCACGCACACTAGCATCATGCAAATTGTCTTATACACACTACAATATTAAGATACCGCACTCACGGAGCTGTTACTTACAGGAAGCGCGGTATCTAGTCAGAGCTCACAAAGACTTATCATTAATCTATGAAAAGACCTTTTTTACTACAACAAGGCATTCCATCCTAGTCCTCAGGGGTGACAACTCATCTGAATTTTGATTCTAAATTGAGTATAAATAGATGTATCTACAGGCTACAATATTCACTTCCATCAAGTGGACTATGTACTTGTTGTCACCCTTATTGTATACAAAGTGTACAAGTATTCTATTCTGGAAGAGAGTGTTGCAGGTACATGGTTGAAACATGCCATTTGTACAGCAACCACATGAGTTTACTACGTGTAATACTATTAGTTACTAACCTTTTTCTTTATTGGAGGCTCAAATGACACAATTTCTTCTTTTTTTTCTTCGTTTTTAGTTTGTTCACTGTCGCCAACTACTTCAAATGCTGGTTTTTCATCTTTTTCCTTTTTTATTATCTCTGAATGCTTTTTAGCTCTTGATAATACCAAAGTCTTTTTATTTTTTGGCTTACTAGAACCTAAAATCTTTGCAACAGAATCTGCCCAGCCCTCATTTGTTAACATTACTCCTTCGTCTTGACTGCCACTCGGATTGTCTGATTCCTCTGAAGAAATTTGTTCTTCGTCACTGTTTCCTCCTTCATATTCTGATTCTTCATTTTCATTTTCTGATCCAGAATCTGAAACTAAAGAATACACTCAATTATTTCCTTACATGTTAAAGTAATTAATTTAAAATAATAGAAATTAAATTTACCAGTTACGGCTGGCTTTTTCATGGCTGCTATTACCATATTTTAAGACTCCAATGTTACTCCTTAAACACGGGTTAAAATGTTGCACAAATTGTTTACTACAGGGACTTATTTTCACTGTGCGGTTATGTAAATTTAAAACCAAAACACAGCATGTGCTTGTGATTAGCTCTTTGACGTACGTACCTATAAAAATGTCACTGTCAAGGCAGTGAGTGTTACCAATTCCAAAAACTATTTAGCCCTAAAGGGTAATTCAATAATCCCTACATAAACATACATTTTAGTTATTGGATTAAATGTTATAATTGATGCACTATTTTGTTGCAATGTGAATCAGATCAACAATGTGATTCAAATAACAAGAAATTGCAAAACATACCGAGAATTTTGAGACATTTTTAAAAGGTTTAAATTCAGCTGCGCCGCAATCATCGAAATCTTCTAAATAAAAATCAAATAAAGTGAAAAAAATATAAGTCCCTAAAAATGTAAATCCCTTAAAAATTCCATCCCACACTAATTTTAAGGGGAAAACCCCTAAGTTGGGAACCCTGTGTCAGTCAAGTCACAGAGTTAAGTTGTTGTTACTATTCGCCAAATAATACCAGCAAAGGTCTTAGACCATACAGCCTAGCATGATTTGTATTTTATTTACATCATAATATTATGCTGATGCGCCACATTATATTAGATGGTGAGGGTGCCCACGCGCATGTCTTCTTATTTTACAGCATGGTAAGTATTTGATTAAGGTTGAAAAATGCCATCCATGCCACAAAGCACTCAATTATTATTAGCCGTGGTAATTCAAACTTACCGTAAATTTTACAGTACGCGAGTGGCTAGGGTTCGATATCCGTCGGCAATTGAATTTGTTTGGCAATCCACCAGGAATTCTAGATTTTAAATTAATTTAATTTTAATAAATTAAATATATTTTATCATAAAAAGCAGAAACAATGTAAACAACCTGTTTGCGAATGAATGGACGGTAATACTGTTTGAATACCTTAGGTTTTGTGAGCGAGAAGAATGAATATGTTGTCTTTAAATAATGTAATTAGAAGAATGTAAGCAGAAGTAGTATAGAATGCGGCGTTGTCACGGAAGTATTTTTTTTATAGGATTGGGTGACAAACGTTTACACAGTCCACCTGATGGTAAGTGCTTGCTGTGACCCATAAACATCTACATTTCTCCTCAATAAAGAGTCAAAATGCAGATGCGTCGTCACACGTGAGGACTAAGATGAAATGCCTCTTTTCCAGTAAAATGGGTCTCTGGTTCTCTACACTCACCATACGAAACACAGCAGTGTCAAGCTGCCAGTTTATGTATGCCTGCTGGTATTCTGTGAGAGCGTGGTCCTTCCCCGGTCCAGCCGACCCATTCGTGCTACAACTATACTACTAATATAGCTGCAACATGGCTCTACCACGTATGTAAGAATAATACATAAAACGTGTCACATCGCACACAGACAGCAAATAGAACAGATTATTTTTAGAATTTTATTAGACGAAAAGAATAATATTAGAAATTATCCCACTTCTGATGTTAGAAATTATTCTCAATATTATTTAAATAAAAGAACACACTCGGTAATCAATTTTCTTTACTATTAGAAATTATTCTGGAGGTTAATTGTTAAAAATAATAAAGGTGTGAGAGCGGAGTTTTCAACTTAATCTCCTGTTTACGCAACCGATTATTATCAGGTATCCTCTTGGTAGTCTGTGACTATCAGCAACTAAACAGCTCTCTACACCAAACATTCAGTATAGAGCGATACAGTTCGACCAAACACTGGTCAAGAATCACACTGGTGTAACAAGAAGGATCCAATTACATGACAACACCAAAGTATGCAAACCAACAGATACCGATCTCAATGTAACACAGGGCCGTCTCTCAGCAACACGATCTTTCTTGCCTACACTTGTAGAATACCCTAACCAATTTGTTTGTATTTCCTTTCATTTTTTACCTTCATTCCTAACAGTAGTAATTCGATGTAAACAGGATTTTAATGTTGAAATTCTAACGATTCTGTGATAAATCGTTAGAATCTCTACATTAAAATAAGCAAAATTTTCAAAACATAATTTTTAGGAAAGGTCACAGTATTGTATAATGGAACGTTATATATTATTAAAAATAAAGTACAGCTGATCGTCAAAAGCGACTGCCGAGTGAAGTCAAAGAGAAGTGAAGTGATAATAAAATGGTGGTAATCTCCTAAACATGGCGAATATTGCCAACCCTCTACCTTATTTAACTAAAAGAGAATATGGACTTATACCTAATATTAAGTCGCAATTGTTTAATAAACGGCTTAATGCTGCGAAGAACTTGTATCGACGAGATTTAGTGTGTCATTTCGGATGTGTAAACGCTATCGAGTTTTCCAGCAATGGCGAATTGCTCGTATCGGGTAAAAAAGATTTATTATATTTTTTTATGAATTTGTGCATATTTTTTCTTTTCTCTTTTCATAATTTGCAATATATTTCTTTATTTAATATCTAACTTAAATTATAATAAAATTATATTAGGTTTTATTTCATCTCTATTAACACAAAATTTCTCTCTATGAACATGTTAAGGATTATTTTCAAAAAAATTTTAATTATCTTGCCAAGCCCTATGTTTACCCCAAATTAAAAAAAAATCAAATATTTGTGTCCCAAGTTCTCTTAAAGCTAAGTAACACTTGTAGGAAGTGCAGATGTTAAGTTATTAGTAAAATCAACATGTAAACAGTTATGTTGGTATTTGTTTTGTCTGAATATTAGAAGTGCAAAGTGCAAGTTTTCTATTAAGTTTCCTCTAGGACTCCCTTCATACTTCCTCACCCACAAAATTAATTTAAATGTAAGTGTAAACAGTATTAATGTATAAAATACCTCTTATGGGGTTATTGTTGCCACTCTTGGCAGGCAGTGCCTGCTTCCTTATTATTTTGAGTTCCGATCAGGAAGATGCTGTTGCATATCTACTTAGTCAGGTCATAAATTTTGTCACATGTTTAATATAAAATAATTGAAACAAGTTTATTCATTATGTAACCATTTATATACCAAAATGAACTTAACAAAACATAGATTCTTATGACACTAAAGTTTATTCAAAATGACCTCCGTGATTTTGAATACAGGCCTTCAATCTGCGCGGCCAGTTGTCTATAGCAGCACGCTGCCTTAATCAAGGATGTCTTGAGTGACTCCAAATTGCGATGAGGCTTTGAGTACGCCTTTTCCTCCAAGTGTTGCCATATCTTGTAATCTAACGGATTCAAATCTGGACTGGAGGAGGGCCAGTCTTCGTGCCGGATGAAGTCAATTTCATGCGCCGCCAGCCAGTCTTGTGTGCTCTTCGCTCTATGAGCTGGCGCCGAATCTTGTTGGAATACCCAGTGCCTGTTATTGAACATGGTATGAGAAACAGGTTCCACAAGGTTCGTCAGGACTGTATTTTGATACACAACTGCATTTGTTTTTACACCTTTCTCACAAAAATGTACCTCTGTTAAGCCCCAATAAGAAACTCCCAACCATACCATGAGCGAGGAATGAAAATGACCTCGTTGGACACGCGGATTACGGTCGCTCGCTTCTTCACTACTGTGTGTGGACACCTTATCATTTTGTTTGTTGTAGCTCTCTTCTACGGTAAAAAATTTTTCATCCGATAAAAGAATTTCCCGATATTTTTCCCGCGTACCGCTTCAACATGCCGCGTAGCGCGGCATCTCTTTAGTCTCAGGTCCATTAGACGAGCATTCAAACGATGTCCTGTTTTTCTTCGATATGCCCGAAGCCCTAAGTCTTCATTTATCACCCTTTTCACTGTGGTTCTGTTTAACCCCATCTGAAGGGCCAACAGTTTCTGCTTACGTTTGGGATTTCTTTGAATTCGCGCCTTCACAGCTTTTATCACTGCTGGAGTCCTAACAGACCGAGGGCGACCACTTCTTGACCTGTCATCTACACTAGAGTCTTCATTGTATCGTATGATGGTACGATAAACGAATCTTTTGGTTATATTCAAATTTTTCAGTATGTCAAAAATTTGAATTGGCATGTAACCACAACGATGCAACGCAATAACTGCAACACGGTCTTCTTTAAGCATCCACTCCATATTTAAAAATGAGTAAAATTCTAAAAAGTATACAGTTTTATTTTCATGAACAATTCGAATTCAATAAACTTTTTTGTGGCCAGCATTCTAAAAGAAAAGTTTTTACTGTGTGACAATACTTATGACCTGACTAGGTATAATTACTTTTCCCTCTTTTGCATCTTAGAATGCCCATAGAATGATATGGGGTAATGGATTCCCTGACAATGCCACTACATGTCAGCTATTGCTACTTAGCAAACTATAAGTCTTAGTCTTAGGGTTAGTATTTTTATTGCTTTTCAGGAGGAGATGACAGAAGAGTGATGGTATGGCAGTTTGGGCAAGCCATTTTGGATCATGGGAAGCCAGAGCCAATGAAAGCTGTTCACCAATCAAACATATTTTGCCTGGGAATCACCAATGATAATCAAAAAATATATTCAGGTGGAAATGATGATATTGTGAGTATTTTTGGGAGATAAATCAGTATTATTTTATTTATTGTACACAACCTGTTTCATGACTGCATAAATTACTATTACTTTCATTAATGAAAATCAGAGTGTGGTTTGAAGAGTGATGTCCTTTTTGGTAATCCTTTGATATTCAAAGCCAAATTTATTGAATTAACATATTTTTAATTTATATATGAAGCATGTTCAGAAAATAACAGTAATTTTTAAATTTCGTGGGTTTAGCAAGTCATATTGTCAAAATTTTCAGCTGTATTCGTTGTTTACTTTGTCTGTTGTAGCAGCTAAGGGTAGATGTGTTTTTATGAGCTCAGCATTTGTTAAAATTTCTTTTATCAAAGAATTTGTATAAAATTTAAAAAAAAATTTAAATAAAGTGTTACAAAGTGTGTGAAATATTAACAAAGGCCTATGGTGAGTATGCTATGCGTAAAACAAGAGTTTACAAATAGTATAAGTGTTTCCAAGATGGCCGTTATCAACAACCAATGAAAGTGTAGAAGAAGTAAAAGAAATGGTTATGAATGATTGCCAAATCAGAATCAGAGAAGTCGAGGATGATGTTGACATTTCGATTGCCTCATGCCATGAAATGTTTTCAAATGTTTTGGGTATGAAAGGCGTGGCAGAAAAATTTGTTCCAAAATTGTTGAATTTTAATAAAAATAGCGGTGAATGGAAGTTGCTTAGGAGTCACTAAATGAAATCATCGACGATGCAGAATTAACTAAATGTGTTATAACAGGCATTGAAACATGGGTTTATGGATATGACGTTGAAATTAAGTTAAACTTGACGTTGAAACTAAGTTGAAGCTAAGGGCTGGAGTTTGCGTGTATGTCAGAGAGGACATCTGTTCTCGACGCCTCGGCAGTCTTGAAGGTTCGGACCTGTCCATCCTTTGGCTACGCGTAAACAGCGACGACCATCCGCGCATCTACGGGTGCCTCTATAGGTCCCATAGCGGTAATGCCGAAACAGACCGACTCATCGACCACGTCCAAATGGCTACAGATTCCTTGCTACAACAGGTCCCATCCGCAGAGATCGTGATTGAGGATCACCAGCTGATTAGTGACCGCCAGTACGGTTTTCGTCGGGGTCGTTCAGCTGGTGATCTTCTGGTCTACCTGACCCATAGATGGGCGGAGGCAGTAGAGTCCAAGGGGGAGGCGTTGGCCGTTAGTCTGGACATTGCGAAGGCCTTCGATCGGGTTTGGCACAAAGCGCTTCTTTCGAAGCTCCCTTCCTATGGGCTTCCCGAGAAATTGTGCAATTGGATCACCAGCTTCCTTGCAGATCGGAGCATCAAGGTCGTTGTAGACGGTGCATGTTCTGACTACAAGCCTATTAACGCTGGTGTTCCACAAGGCTGTGTGCTATCACCAACGCTGTTTCTTCTGCATATCAATGATATGTTGCTAACTGGTAACATTCATTGCTATGCGGATGACAGCACTGGTGATGCTCTATACACCGGCCGTGCCAATATTTCTCGGGAAAACGTCGCCGAGTACTGGAACAAACTTTTGTCTGAAGTCGAGTCTTTGCTGAACAAAGTCTCGGATTGGGGGCGACTAAATCTAGTCCAGTTTAATCCTCAGAAGACACAAGTTTGCGCGTTTACCGCTAAAAAGAACCCCTTTGTCGTATCTCCTCAGTTTCAAGGCACTCCCCTTCTTGCCTCAGCCAGTATCGGTATCCTCGGAGTCGACATATCGAGTGACGTGCAGTTTCGTGGTCACTTGGAAGAGAAGGCCAAATTGGCCTCTAAAAAGCTTGGCGTGCTCAGCAGAGCGGGACAGTATTTCATGCCGGCACACCGCCTGTAACTTTACAAGGCGCAGGTTCGGCCTCACATGGAATACTGTTCCCATCTCTGGGCAGGGGCTCCCCAGTGCCAGCTCCTTCCACTTGACCGCATCCAGCGCAGAGCGGCTCGAATCGTCGATGACCGAGCCCTTTCCGATCGGCTCGATTCATTGGCGCTGCGAAGAGATGTTGCATCCCTTTGCATTTTCTTTCGCATCTACCATGGGGAGTGCTCTGAGGAATTGTTCGGATTAATCCCAGCCGCCAAATTTCACGAACGCACATCGCGGCAGAACTCCCGATACCATCCACACCATCTGGATGATTGGCGGTCCACCACTGTGCGATTTAGAAGATGTTTTCTTCCTCACACGACTTCCTTGTGGAATCGATTACCATCAGCGATTTTTCCGGACCGATACGACTTAGGGACCTTCAAGAAAAGAGCGTACTCCTTTTTAAAAGGCCGGCAACGCATCTGCAATTCCCTCCCTGGTGTTGCAGTTGTTCATGGGCGGCGGTAGTCGCTTACCATCAGGTGAGCCGCATGCTCGTTTGCCCCCTCTCCTATAAAAAAAAAAACTAAGCCTCAATCGTCCCAGTGGATGCATTCTGCCTCGCCAAGACCGAAATGTCTTGACAAGTGCGGTCGAACGTGTAGGTCATGCACACTGTGTTTTCGATTTTAATGGCATAGTGCATCATGAATTCTTGCAACGAGGTCAAACGGTCAGTAAGTTCAACGCTGTTTGTGTGAAGCAATCCGACGCCCAGATTTGTGGAAAAACAATTAATGGTTGCACCACAATAATGCTCACCTGCTCATGCTTCATTGCTTATTCATCAGTTTTTGGCCAAAAACATTACCATAACGATGCTCCAGTCTCCATATTCACCTGTCATGGCTCCGGGTGACTTTTCCCTATTCCCAAAAATAAAGAAAACCTTAAAGGGGTGTCGTTTTACAAGCATAGATGACATTAATAGCATTGCTGAAAGAGCTAAAGGCTATCCCAAAGATTGAGTTTGAGAAGTGTTTTGAGGATTGGAAGAAGCGCTATCATTAGTGCATAGTATCAAATGGGGACTATTTTGAAGGCGACAACATGAATGTAGACGAATTAATAAATATTTTTTTCAAAACGCGAAATTTCCCATTATTACACCTCATATTTATAACTGTCTGTAGTCTGTGTCAAAATAAAGTTGGTTTCTTCTTCTAATTCACATTGAAAGTGGTTAACAGATTTAATTTAAAAATAGTTCTCAATTAAATATAAGAATTATGGTTGCTAGCAAGTAATACATACAATATAAACAAGTATGTGTATACATGATACACAATCATTCCATTAAAGAGGAAAGTTTAATTATATAATTTAACTGGCGACCCATCCTGTCTTTTGCCTGGATAGAATTTATTAATGTGGTGTTATTTAAATTTCAGATAATCAAAAAGCATTTATTTTATCAATTTTCCTACAGGGTTATTTTGCAATATATGCCCTGGTGAATGGTAACAAATACCAGTAAAAAAATTTCAAACATTCTATCCTTTTTATCTTTTAAATTTAGAATGTTTGGTCACGCATTATTTTCATTGATTGTCATTGATAAATATCTAACACCTACTATTTTACGACGCAAGCACATATAGACAAGTTGCGTTGGAATGTCATAGGATTATCCGAAGTCCGAAGAGAGGAGGAAGACACGGTAATCCTCGAATCCGGCAATTTGTTATATCACCGGAAGGGCGACCATCTGTCCCAAGGAGGTGTCGGATTTATCGTCCACAAGTCTCGTTAACAACGTTGTAAAGATTGTGAGTGTGTCGACGAGGGTTGCGTACCTTATACTCAAAATCACTAAACGATATTCGCTAAAGGTCATACAGGTTTACGCACCAACCTCGGCACACCCCGATGAGGAGGCAGAAGAAATGTATGAGGATATCTCTAGAGCCATGCATTCCTCCAAAACCCACTGTTCGCGCCAAGCGCTAATGTCAAGAATCGACACCAGATGGCACTCGGCTCGGCGCGATACCGGTTTTGACGTCGGTCGAGCGGTGGGTGTTGAGAACGCGCAAGGGCGAAAAGAAGAGTCGTTTGCCAGCTGTGCTTAGGACAGCACGCCTTCATTTTTTTGTTCGGGAACATATTCGTATGGGTTGCAAATGGAAATGCCCAATTCTGGCCAAGTAACGGCCAACAATTTGCATTTGTTAAAAAAGTACATCTTTTTTATGGTAATTAATCGCGGTATTTATGTATCCAAAAAAGATTGAATATTTTTACACAAAAAAAAGTACCGAAAAGATAAAAATGAAATTAGGTAAATCCGTAATTCATTAGTTTGTGGATAAATTAAAAAGTGTTGCCAATTACAAATATCGTTAAAAAATTGGATTCTGTTTTTTCAATCGATTTTTTATGGTGTCATTATTATAATGGTAATATTATTTTTCGATAATTATTATGATGTTATGATAATGAAACAAGCGAATTGCTAGATGATTTAGCATAAACTCTTTAGAACATAACAAAAACGCTAATGCACAATTTAACTGTTATTCTTATCTGTTCTTAAAAATACATTTAAAATGGAATTTAAATAAATATAACAAAACATATTTTAAAAGGCGTGCAGAACTTAAAGCGAATCAAAGATTATTCTTTTTTATGGAATTATAAATTGATTAAAAAAATCGCTATCTATTTATCGATTTTATGTATGTTAATTCTGTTAATATGAACGAACTGTGCACTATTGGTGCATTCGCTTTCGTTCGGGAAATTTTAACCACACAAATGAACCTTGTACCCGCCTGGATAAAATTGAAGGCGATAGTACAAGCGGATCCGTGTTAAACTAGGGCTGAGCTAGCTTCGGATTCGATGTTTGTGTCAAAACAATATTATATCGACAAGTAGGCAAAATTAAAGGACTTACCAGAAGCTGCTCATAAAATTGTGAGAATTTCTTAATATGTTAATTTTTTTGTACCTAAATACAATCATTTCAATTTTCCCATCCACAACGGCAATTTCGCAGTCAAAGACCTGCAGTGCGAGTGTGTAACTCCAGTGAGACAGGCAAAATGTTTAAAATCGTTTATTAATGTTTTCACAGCATGCAAATCAGCTCAATATACGGCAGATATATCATCATCATCATCATTACAGCCCTTCACAAAATTCACTGCTGAACATAGGCCTCCCCCAAGGAATGCCACAAAGCACGGTCCCGAGCCACCTGAATCCATTGACTTCCTGCATGTCTTACCAGGTCGTCACTCCATCTAGTGGAGATATGGCCGGCCCATTGCCACTTCAACTTACTAATCCGTTGGGTTATGTCAGTTACTCTGGTTTTACTGCGGATATCCTCATTTCTAAGTTTATCACGAAGAGAAACCCCGAGCATAGCCCTCTCCATAGCTCGTTGAGCTACCTTGAGCGTCCTCATACGGCCAGCAGTGAAGGACCACGTCTCAGATCCAAAATCATCACTGGCAACTCGCACTGGTTGTACAATCTCGTTTTCATAGAAGACGTGTCTGTGTAACATCGAATCTGACAGCTAGGCTCATAACATAATTATCAAAATAAATAGTCACAAGTCGAATTCCTTTGCATTTGTGTTATTTTGTTTGTTTTCTTGCGGAATTGTTATCTTAGCAACGAATAAGCTTTTTGAATGGACTCCAATAATTCTCTTCACCCTATTGACAACGGCCCGAAAATGGATCCCGCTCCCACTACTTACGATAACCTCTGCACGAACTTGAACTCGATATCCACTGTTAACAATGACTCCAGCGTTCACACCGGCCAGAGTTCTTCTCAGCTCTCAGTAAGTCATTCAAGAGGACATTTACGTTGTGTCAATTGTGGTTTAAATGTCACCAAATTACGAAGTCATTTGTAGTTAAAAAACTGTTATTGTGAAGATAAAAACCTTTATATCTTAAAAATCCGGTCTTTTTTAACCAATTCCTTAACCATTTCATTCTTTTAATTGCATATTATCATTTCCATATGCTTTTATATGTGGGTACCCATGGCCAAAGTGTATGAACAGCGGGCATTCCCCTCATTTTAAGCAATGAAATTTTACGTGGTGTGCAAACGTTATATGTACTTGAGTCTTTACCAATCGAGGAACAATTGACACATAATTAAACTGCACGTGCAGTGAGTGATAATTGAAAGAGTGGATACAAAGATAGGTACATTGCGCATGGAGGCCCTATACTATGGCCTGCAATCTCGCCGTACCTTTCACCTTTAGACTTTTATATTTGGGGTTTTCTATGCCAAAACAGTTTTTAATCTTTTCTGAAATGAAGAGTCGTGTTTAAGTCAAACAGATCCAAAGTTATGAAGACCGCCGCAGCAAAATTATTGCTGCATTCGCGGAAGTTAAAAGTCCTTAAGCACAGGTTATAAGTGTAAAAAATAGTTCCATTCTTTTATTTTACATTTAACGGATTCCATTTTGAGGTAGTATTAGTTATTGGGACTACTTGCGTATAGTTCCAGTGTATACTTTTTGTTAAAAGTATATAGTGGACGCAAGATATCTGAGATAATGCATAAGACCGGTGTTTCCTTAATTGAGTCGAGCATGGATCTCAATCTATAGGAAAGTAAGGTCAAACCGCACTGAGCATTAATCCTATGCAAACTAGCCCTCGCCTCCTTGTCTAAGTAAAGATCAAGAGCCGTTAGGCCTAGAAGTGCATTAAGAGCCGCTCCAGGCGATGATTGCATCGCTCCAGTTGCTATTAAGCGGGCAGTCCTGTGTAGAATATATAGTCTGTCCGTAGTCGTCTTTTGGTTGGCCTTATTACACCAGACAGTGGAGGCGTAGGTAAGAATCGGCCTCACTATACTGCTGTACAGCCATAGGATCATACTGGGATGCAAGGCTCAGTTGTTCCCGACCATGCGACCGCACGTACCTAAAGCAATTTTAGCCTTATGACATACGTTGCTAATGTGAGAAGTTCACGTTAGTATTTGGTCGATTATTACGCCCAAATATTTAACTTCACTGGAGAATGGTACTTCTTTACCATTAAGTTTTGGTGTGACTAATTTGTCCAACCGTCTATTTTTGGTAAAGGGTAATAACCCTTTTACTTAAACAGTTTTATCAGCATTAACTGATAAACTGTTATCCCTGCACCAGTTGTTTATGGTGTTTAGGGCTCTTTGTATGATTAATGATAAAGTGCTTTGGCAAAAGCCCCTCGCAATGATCACAAGGTCATCAGCATAACCCAGTGTGTCAATGCGAAGGTCTGCCATCTTGTACAATAATTGCTCAACCACAAGAGTCCAAAGGAAGGGTGACAAAACACCTCCTTGTGGACAGCCTCTTGTAGTTGCAACCTCAATCGAAGTTTGAAACAGCTCTATTTTTGCCTTTCTGTTTGAGAGCATCGACTTCACCCACCTATAGTTGTGGAGTTAACATTTTTAGATATCAGGCCCTCAACCAGCAGTGATGTAGAGCTACTGTTGAAAGCGCCCTCAATGTCTATAAAGGCCCAAAGAGCTATTTCTTTATCCTCCAGCGCTTTTTTTACCCCACCTTTTTTAACCTTTTGGGTTAAGATAGCAAAAATTGGGGTGGGATAAAAAGAAAAGAAAATGAGGATCGTCTGAGTGTTTCTGTTCTGTCTGTTTCCTTTTGAATCTGACCACATAACAGGCGGCAACCACGTCAACTCCTCAGACTTGCCCTGGGAATCAACACGACCTGCGCTCTCCACTAGAGCCATTCGCCAAACTGCTCGTCGGACAGGAGTTAATCTAGTCCTACTGATAATTTAAAATGTGAGAATTAGGAGTAGACTAACCCCCGCCCTAAATTCAGTTTGGCTTTGAATGTATTCACCATTTTCGCAACATGACGTGCATTTCCAGGTTCAGTTTATTCAATTTTATTGTTATATCAGGGACAAACCCCAAATCTCAAGCCACGAGGGATCGGTCAACTATGGATAATCTTCCATTCTCGTTGTCATAAACTGTTTGATTTCGTTTATTAAACTGAGAAAGCGTACAAGCACTTTGCCTTTACTCAGCTATCGAACTTCCGTATGCAATATCAAATCCGCGTACTCAGCATCTTCATCTCGCAAAAGCTGCCGAAACAAACGGTTTTGCTATGCCGTAGCCTTAATAGATTTAACTATCTTTACGAAAATCTTCATGGCGTGTTCAAAACGAAGAGTTTTGGCACACAAAGCCTCTTGATGGATGATGCAGTGGTAGTGAGCGAATTGAGGAAACACTTCATTTGCCATACACAGCGCTACGAAGCCAATTTTATTGCGTATCATTGTAGATGCACCATCAGTAACTATGGCAGCTAACTGACTTTCTTCTGCAAAGTTTATAAGTGCATCATAAATATCTTTACCTTGTGTGTGACCCTTAGGAACAACTTTAAAAATTCTACCTTTGTTGTTAAATCATGAAATATCAAACAACACCTCTGGCTGACAATGGTATCGCTTCAATAGCCGCAATAATTTCAGTTTTGTTTTTAAAATTCTGAAAGGCAGAATAAGCAGCTGTTAAGAAGACTTCCTTTATTACTTTTTATGTATTTAAAAAATTTCACCGTCTACAAAAGGCTTTTTCTTCTTACCCAACAAATGAGAAACCTTTAATGATGCAATAGTAGCACTTTTCGAAAGTTGAACTGGCCTGGTGAAAACACTTTGTTGTTTTGTTAGATTTGTCTTCAATTCCAGACACGTTTCTTCCGAATTTCAGTATTTGGTGGAAAACTACTGTTACACGACGCCTGCACGAGTATTGCAGTGCACTGACTCACTCGGGCTGTATGGGGGCTAGGCGGGGGGGAAGATTGGTATAACAATTACTGCACGCTTTATCACACCGTGGATGCTGTGGCCCATAGACATCTACATTTTTCTTCGATTAAGAATCAAAATGCAGATGCGTTTTCACCCCTAAGGACTACGGTGGAATGCCTCGTTTTCAGTAAAAAGGGTCTCCGGTTCTCTTTACACACCATATAAAACAGCAGCATTAAGCTGAGATGGTGGCCTTTCCCCGGTCGAGCCGACCCATTCGTGCTATAACCATAAAATAGCTGTAGCGTACCTCTACAACGATATTTTTTTTATCTATTGTTATTGTTTATATTAATATTGTTTCATACAGGTAATCGTGCATGATTTAGAAAGTAAATGCCCTTTGGAAGTTCTGCATCACCAAAGAGCAGTATGCAGTCTCAGCATAGACCCATTTAATGAACGGGTTGTAGCGACAGCCGGGAATGATGGTCGCCTTCTTCTTTTTGACACCAGGCACTCTGTTCATGGTAAGTAGTGTTTAGTAAAATTCTTAAATATCTATCTATTAAATGTAACATACTATAATTGTTCTACGAGGGCTTCACCAAAAGTATCGGGAATGGAATATTTCCACTGTTCCTGTCATATTATTATTTTTTTTAATTGAAAAGTCCTTGGTGTTAAAAATCGAATACCATTTATTTATTTAAAAAGAGATTCTCGGTCTTGTCACAAGGTTTTGTCAAACTTGTTTCCGCAAAACGGCATTCGCTCTGTGAAGAGCAAAAAGCGGCTCGCGTTACTTGGTGCGTCAGAACTCTCGAAAGATTCCAGGCAGGATCCTCAAATGCTGTATACAATATCGTATCAGTTGACGAATCCTGGATATACGCGTACGAACCCGAAACAAAAAACCAGTCACGAGTTTGGGTGTTCGAAAATGAGTTAAAGCCAACAAAAATTGTTCGTTCACGGAGTGTTGAAAAAAAAATAGTGGCCACGTTTGTCTTCAAAACCGGCCATGTTAGAACTATTCCTCTTGAGGGACAAAGAACGGTTAATGCAGAATGGTATGCTAGCATTTGTTTGCCACAGGTCGTTTCTGAACTCCGTAAAGAGAACTGCAACCGCCGTATCATCCTCCATCACGACAATGCGAGTTCTCACACCGCACACAGAACAAAAGAGTTTTTAGAGCAAGAAAACATAGAATTATTAGACCATCCGCCGTACAGCCCCGACCTAAGCCCTAATGATTTCTATACTTTCCCTAAAATAAAGAATAAATTGCGTGGACAGAGATTTTCATCACCTGACGAAGCTGTGGACGCCTACAAAACGGCCATTTTGGAGACCCCAACTTCCGAATGGAATGGTTGCTTCAATGATTGGTTCCATCGTATGGAAAAATGTGTCACATTTCGCGGAGAATACTTCGAAAAGCAATAAATACATTTTTAAATAGTAATGTTGTGTCACTTCCTTGATTCCCGAAATTTTCAGTGCCGCTCTCGTACTAGACTGAGTCTACCTGTATTTAAAGGTATATGATAAGTTAATAAAGGTAGGAGTTCCTTAACAGATTTCACATGTTCACAAAATTTATTTTTTCTAGTCATGCATATTTAAGTGTGAGGGAATATGCAATTTAGAGAATAATTTAACTTATAGCAAAACTTGCTATAAGTCTTATTAGTAGTCAAGCATTGGTAATTCTCGGATTAGTAAAGGGGAACAGCATCATAGTTACAAGTAAATCTCTTTTAAACTATCAATTTGATAGATGCTTATTGTTTAATGATGGTGTAATTCAGGTGATAATAGATAGGATGTTCTCAGTAAATCATTTTTAGTGTATGGTCATTCAAATGTAAAAATGTATTCAAAAACAATCTAAACATTTATACGAATGACGTAATTCCCAAACACTGAACCTAAGGTTCAAACATATATATTAATATACGTACATAACTTCTCTACTTGAATTTTATTTTCTTGCTGACCAAAACGCTAATTATCGTCGTCCAGTGGGTGTCGTGGAAGGTATTTGTTGCCATCGCCAATTTGCTTATATAGTGTTTGTACGGCAAATCCTTCATAAGGGAGATATTGGAAATACAGGGTTATTTTTCAAAGAGTGGGACAAATTTTAAACGTAAGTTCAAATATAAAAATAACAATATATCGTTAATGCAGTTTTTGAAAATACGAGTAAATAAGACTTCTACTTTTATTTTAAATTATCCCAAATTGAATGTACCTGTCCTTACAAATGTGTGCGTGCGCAGTAAAATCAATTAAAATAATGCATTACCACGCATTTTTGAATTTAAAAGATAAAAGGAACAGAATGTTTCATTTTTTTTAATGAATTTTTCTTCACCATTTGCGTATATTACTCATTCTGAACCTTCTCTGCAAATTTGGCTGGTTATTGCAAGATAACCCTGTATAGTAGAGGCCGATGTCCATCTGTGGACTGTTAAGGACTCACGATAAAAGGTCGATTTATGTTGACAGTCGAGGTATACTGAAGTGATTTCTTTGTTGCGCAGAATCCCTGATAATATCCCGCAGCCGGAAAGCGTTCCACGGCGTGATGTTTCACCCGCAACAAGTGGGAGTTTTGGTGTCAGCCAACGCGAGGGACGGCGTCGCACTGTGGGATCTGAGATCAACAAAGCAGTGAGTTATGCATTTTTGTTTCTAATCCAGAGACAATGTTATCTTCATATATTGAGTATTCTATTACATAGTTGTATTAGTATTATAATAAATGCATTGAGTAGTATAGTAGTATGCTTTTTAGGTGGAGTTGGTCCAAAGTTAGCTTGTCTAAAACGTATAGCTGTAGGCTTTTAATTAAGTAATTATAGCTGAAGCTGGACAATGAGCAAACCTGTTAACCATAATGTTACAACACAGATACTATATCCTGTGCACTCTCTTTCTAAGTTTTAGAAGGTTCATACTCTAGTGACATTATTCAGGGAATATGTTTTAAGATATTAGACGCCGCCCCGATATCCACCTAAATTTACTGTAAGCGACAGACTATTATAAAATCATAAATGATGCCGTTAATCATTTAGTTTATTTTAAAAATGTTGATCATTAAAAAAAATGTCGTATAGGCCTCGATTTATTTTTATCGATACAGAAAATGCTGTAGTAATAAAAATACTTTTAAGTTTGGAATAGACTGCGTTGTAAACAAGTCATATATATTTTATATTATAATTTTTCGTCAAACCAGCGTTAAGGAGGACATTAACCATAAAATAAGAAATAGAGAATAAGTGTTGTTAACTCTTCAACAGCCCAGTGCTCCGTTACGTGGGCAACAACGGCACATGTCAGAACAGCATGAGTGTTCGATTCAATTCAGCGGGTACTCATATACTCGCCCTGCGACGCCGTCTAGCCCCAGTATTGTACGCCGTACAGTCGCCCGAACCGGTGGCAGAGTTCTACCACCAGGATTACTATAACTCTTGCACAATGAAAAGCTGCTGCTTCGCTGGAAAGGGCGATCAGTTCGTACTGTCCGGGTCCGACGACTTTAATCTTTATATGTGGAAGATACCGGACGGAGATGGCGGTTTTGGTGCGTATAATTTTTATTACAGAAAAATAATGCAGCCTCAGAATGTTGGAAGATTTCACAATACTCTGTTTTGCAAGTAGTATCCAATCAGTGCACTCTTAGCATTTTTTAAATTTAAATATTTATTTAAAGGTTATTTTCCAAAGAGTATCCAAATTTTATAATTTAAGTTCAAATATATAATTAATGATATACCGTTATTGCAGTTTTTGCAAATACAAGTAAATACGGATTCTACTCTAATTTGACATTATCCCAAATTGAATGTGATTTATGGGCAATAACTACGCGTACGCGTGCTCCTCTGTGTGCGATTCAATTCAAAACGTTTTTGCCAACCGAGCGACCCTTACGAAAGTGGGCGTGCGTAGAAACATTGTAGGCGTTAGATATTTATGAATGACAATCAGTTAAAATAATGGATTAACACGCATTCTGAATTTAAAAGTTAAAAGGCACAGAATGTTTGAGATTTTTTTAAATAAAATTTTTCACCATTCGTTTTGAAAGTCTGCAAATTTGGGCGTACGTAGGTTAGGTACTCAATAAGTTTTAAGATGCTCGAAATTTGTATTATATGTTCCTAAAAAGCAAATTTATTTAAAAATAGAACTCCATAAGCCAATTGGTCAATATTAAAAAAAAAAAAACAAAGTTCTATTAATTTTCCTGCAACGTTTCCCGCGCTTTTCATTTAAAACGATGGATCTTAACCGTGAACATTTGCGCGCTATGATATATTATGATTTTAAATTTGATTTAACCGAACAAGTTTACAACGGTTACAATCATCATAAGCAAGCTCAGCTCCATCACGCGCAACAATTTTAAGGTGGTTTGCTGAATTCAAAAGGGGTAAAATTAATCTTAAAGATGACCAAAGAACCGGGGTCCCGCAAACAGCAGTAATGGCAGAAAATGTATGGACTACTGAAATGTTGGTGCGAGAAGACCCACGAATCACATATACGGATCTCGAAAAGATTGTAGGCATTAGTTCGAGGAGCATTCATATCATCCTACATCAACATCTTGGAGTGAGGAAGCTTTGTTGCCGATGGATCCCTCTTTTGCTCTCCAAAAGAGAAAAACAGACTCGTGTGGATTGATGCCATGAAATACGTTTACGTTTTGAAAACGAGGCATCTAGGCGTGTTTCAGAAATCGTTTCGAAATCGGGAGAGAAGACTAAAGACCGGGCTTCGGGGAATCATGCTGCATCACGATAACGCCTCTTCACATATTTCCCTTAAAACAAAAGCATTTGTTGAGGAATCTGGTATTGAAACTCTAAGTTACCCACCCTACAGCCCTGACTTAGCTCCTTGTGATTTCTTTTTGTTCCCAAGAGTAAAAGAAATAATTAAAGGCTAGTTTTTTTCAAGCGTCGAAGAAGCCGTGGCTACCTACGAAGAAGCGATTTCCGACCTGTCAGATCAAGACTGGCTAAAGTGTTTTCAGAGTTGGTTTAGGCGAATGGAACTTTGTATAGAGCATGATGGAGAATATTTTGAAAAGATGTATAATAAATATTAATAGTATCTAGAATACTTTTTGTATATCTTAAAACTTATTGAGTGTCCTACGTATATTGGAGAATTAACCTGTACAGTTACTTTATAAGGCCGGCCACATATATACGGAATTCCGTTTCGATATTCCGGTTCGGGATTCCGAACGCAGCAAGTCCATATAAAATCTATGACCCGCCACACACGTACGTTATTTTTCCGTACGGAATTTCTCCGTTTCGAGATTCCGTATGACCGCCTGTGCGTTCGGGATCCCGAACGGAAAAAAGCCGCTCCGAACGCACGTCTTCCATAGATTTTGTACGAGTCGCAACATACATACGTAAATTCCGTACGGAATGCGCTCAGTGTTCGTCGCACGACCGAAGCGAGTAGGTGTGTTTATGTATGTTTTTAAATTTAATCTTGTAGGTGTATAGCTTTTCTTGACCTTTCATCTTATTTTATTTAATAATTCGTCGAAAGAATTTACATACTAAATATTTAAAAAATATCTCTGGATAGATAGATCTTTTTACATAGTATTGACTATATTGCAAGCTTAGAGTGATAAGGAGATGCACCTAGTAAGAATGATACAGCAACAATGGAATCGCAATTAGAAAATCGTCGTCATTATTCGCTGGCAGAATGTCGAGATTCCGTATGTATGTGGCCGGCCTTCACCAGTGATTTTATGTAACATTGAAATTAATATTACGTTTATTTAGTTACGCACAGAAACTCGAGTGTAATTTTAGATACTATAATTGAATTAGGAAATATCCACCACAACTTCCCAAAGCGAAATCTCGGAATTATATTCTACCGCCATGCGGGTTAAATCAATTTGTTGCTTAAATTAATAATCTCAGTGATTCACCAAACTTAAATTCCTAATATTGAATCAGGAATTTAAGTTTGGTGAAGTCTTCTAAAGTCCCGTAAAACAAATTTAATTGAATGGCCCCTTCAATGTTTTTATAACTAATTTCTCCTGTAAGAGTTAGTACCTAAGTTAACCTAAGTTACTTCAGAAGTTGTTTTGATTACATATTAATGTTTGTGGCGATATGTGCAATAAATGTTTCCTTCTTTCTTGGAAATAAAATGAATTAATTTCATTCATAATGTAATATAGACTGTTTTATTTAGATAATATCAAAAGTGAGTGTAGTATAATTTGTTTTCAGACATGGTCGTAGAACCGCCACATATCGTCCTATATGGTCACAGGTCGATAGTGAATCAAGTGCGTTACAATCCGCATTATTGTCTCATTGCGTCCTCGGGTGTCGAAAAAATTATTAAGGTAAAGTTTTTATTAATATAAACATTTTTAATTATAATTTCTAGAGTTTATTTCAACATTGTTTTTAAATTTTAGATTTTAAGATGATTTTTGACGGTGGAACCCTACTTTATGAGTGATCCAACATACACTTGATAATTTTTTTGTTTATAGGTGTGGTCGGCCTTAGAGTACCCTCAAATGCGCGGCACATTGCTAGAAGAGGCGCAGGGTTCAGACAACCCACGGGAAATATATAGTCATGAGGACTACGTGTCCCTTGTACACCACAGTGGGCAGGTTAGATATATACCAGATTTAATTAATGGTCTTGTATTTTACATCATAAAAATGATCATCATCACCATCAACCTGTAGGCAGTTCATTGCTGGACACGTGTCACGCAGATGTAAAAAAAAATATAATCTCGGCTTGGCAGGCGGATGGGTTATAATATAACAGTACTAGATATTTCGTATCTTTAACGCTGCACGCCGTCATTGTTCTGGTTTTTAGATCCGTCACATCAGAGTTGGTTACTTCTTTTTCTCTTGAAACTTGCACTTGCCTAGGAGAAAGTAATATAAAACTTTCAATACGATAAACACGCTTCGAGACTTATTCGCAGTTAGGCCTAGCTTTAAAAATATATGCATGCTAAGTACAATGGATATATTATATTTGGGCTTACTTCATAACAGCCGTGGAGACTTTGTGAATAGTGATTGGAATACAGAATTCAAGTTTAATTGTTTCAAGAAATAAACTGTTTAAAAACATTCATAATAATGTACGTTTATGTCTTTTTATAAGAAATCAGGTGGCTCAAATTTATACCTCTTTTTTTTTAATATGACATATTGCTAAGATATTTGTCAATTTTTAAGTGAATACTTCTTTAGAATCGTTGTGATTTGAAACTCGATGAAACGAAAAAGCGACACTAAAAAGAGACAAACACTTATGTGTAGGATTTAGCCTGCGAAAGAATGACATGGAATACAGTATACAGTTTTTCCTATTATGTATGAAAATTATGCATGTGATCTATGAACAGTAAGGACTAATGCTCGACACACACGGTCAGTTAAACTGATCACTTGAACTGATGTACATCCAAAACCTTACCATGAGTGTGAAATTTAACTTGAAATTTTTAACTGACGACAACCCACGGATATTTCCGGGTGCACGGTCAGTTAATCTGATCAGTTGAACCGACGTACTTCCAATAATTTAAATTTAAAAACTTTTACAACCGACTTTAATATAAATTATTAAGAATAACTCAAAAACTATTAGTTACACTTTGATCAAATTTATATGGGACCACACGGGAAGCACCTCCTTTCAAATAAAAAAAATAATACAGCCCAGAAAAACACATAAAAAAGCTTACAGTTGAATTGAGCCTACCTCCTCCTTTTTGAAGTCTGTAGGGAACTAACCGTTAGTGTGAAATCTTAAGTTGAAATTTGAAGCCAGTGTACATCCGTTTGAACTGATCAGTTAAACTGATCAGTCCAACTGAAATTTGTTGATTAGAAAATATTTAAGTACTTACGATGCTGAAATTGAAAATTTGGAGTATGTAGAATAAAATGTAAAATAATTTTTAAACTTGGCGACAATATTATAATAAATAAACCATACAATTATCCTACTCTTAATACTCTGCATTCATCTCATTCTCTCGAAGCTTAGTTTTCTGAGGGTTTCACTTCTACCGCGTGTGAACTGCACACAAGTTTTTTAAATGCAGTGTTTAATAGTTGTCTACTTCTTTTTAAATATGTAATATGTATGTTATATTTTTTTCTATGCAGTTTTATTAGGTTTCTACTTTTTTTTTGGAACGGGTAGTGGTATCAAGTTGAAATCATCATCGAATACTACATTACCTCTATAGTACCTTGGAAGTGTAAAAAATTCAAGCTTCCAAGTCAATGCTATTAAAAGAGATGGCCATTTATGTTTGTTGTTCAAGGGGGTATGGTGATCATAATACACAGCAAGCTATATCGAGCCATGATAGTTTTTTTTAAATAAAATAAGAATGACAAATGAGCACACAGTCCATCTGATGTTAAGTGGATCCTGTGGCTCACGGAAATCTTTATCTATCCTCGATTAAGAATGAAAGTGCAGATGCGCTGTAACCCCTAAAGACTAAAATGGAATGTGTCGTCCAGTTAATAGGTTCACTGGTTCCCTACACTCACCATACGTAATACAGCAGCTTTAAGCTGGTATTTCACGTAGGTGTTCTATGAAAACGTGGTCTTTCCACGTTCTCATAGAACACCCATTCGTGTTACCACCATAATATAGCTGCAGCGTGGCGCCGTTACCATTACAACCTATAAAAAAAGTCCACTGCACATAATTTGCTAATTGCGCTTGGCAAGCGGGTTGGCAACTGCAGTTTTTTTATTTTTAGTCGTTATTAGGAAGACGCTGTCTATCTCCTGATTTGTTTCCCCCTGTCGCCTCTTACGACACCCTGGAGATGATATGGGGTAGTGGATATCCTTACACCGTCACTACACGGTAACAGCGCAGCAGCACGTATAAAATCGTAAGCATGTGGTCGGCAGTACATATCGCACAACTACGCGGATCAGTCGACGCGCGAGGACCAGCGCATGATGGCGTTCTTCGACTCGCTGGTGCAGCGCGAGCTCGAGTGCCTCGCCGAGGAGACGGACTCGCTGGACGGCTCCAGCTCCGCCTCCCACGCCTCGCCTGCCGCTAACGACGACTCCGATGATTCCGACCGCGTTGTCGCCGACTTTCTACCGCTCACCAATAAACGAGGTACGTAGCACACGCACGAACGCGCACGCACACCTATGACACACACACGCACAACACTTTTTTGTTGCCACATACGCCACATTTATTACTTGCATTCAGTAGGTTCCTAATTTTCTTGATATTGCAAAGAAACGCATTAATGAACTAAAAAGTTGTTTTTTCATCAGAGTAGATGTTGATTTATTCTGGATGAACACAGTAAAATCAGAACTAAAGATTTATCTATGTATATTTCTTAAGAACGATACTACAGAATTAGTACTGATAATTCGTACTGATAATTCTGTATTGGAAAATAGTCTACAAAACTTTTTTTACTTTGTTTACAGTCAACCCAAATGGTAACCGAAGTCAGCGATGTCCAAATAGATTGGCTCGTCTAGTAGCATCGCGGTATCCTAAAAATGTGCGATCGCAAAAGAGAGGCTCTCAAAGGTAAAAAATAAATTACAACTGAATCTCCACAAAATCACAATAACATCTCATAACGAAACGGTTCACATTTGTCGCCTCGCCGGATCGATTATCTAAAATTGCCCGTTCAGTCAGCACACAATGTGGGTATATTTTTTTTTACTAGCCGCCAAAGGACTGACCTATTATCTATCGATCTATGGATTCGACGTGACCAATGTGAGCGCAGATACCTAAAGTTGCATTTAAGATTCTATTTCAATCTTAGCTTAACGAATAACGGTAGTTATTGCTATGTATTTATGTATAATATAGCGTTTCACCGATTTTTCGGATGTACTAATATAACAAAATTTTCAATTTTGAATCTTAAGTGGAATCATTAGGCTGAAATATCTATTGTTTGTTCATAGCATCTCTTTAGTAAATCTTTAATTGTAAATATTATTTTATGATGATGAATAATCATTGTAGGGTTTAACTACACTTTTATTATTTAAAATGATAATTTAATATGATATTCATAATGATAGATAAAATGATAACGACTGCTTGATGTGAGTGCTTGAATTGCACTGCTCGCCGAGTACAGGGCGTTAAAGTGCTGTGTTATAAAGACTGCTAAGTTAACAAATTAAATACATTTAAGTCATTGTGAAATATGTACGTTTCACCGTACAATCATTGAACAATTGTGAACTTAAATTGCAGTTAATTTAGTATCATCATGAATTTTTTCATTAAGTAACGCTAACTTATATAATTTAGTTTATATTGCATTTTTGAAAAGTTAGTAATTAATCATTTTAAAAGCATCAAGCGATTATTAAAAATATGTAAAGACTATTAGTATCTTGTTATTAAACCAAATGTCCCAACTCACTCTATAATAAATAGACTATAAACGTTAGAAATCCGTCAGACGCAACAAACAGACGAGGTCGTGCGTGAGCAAGTCGAGCAGTAAGTGCTCCGCGGGCAACTCGGCCGCGAAGGGCAAGCGCGCGTCAGCTCGCAGGGCGCGCGGCCTGCGACGGTCCGCGCCGCGCGTCGTGGCACGGGACGCCCCAGCAGCAGCGCGGGACGCGCTCGTGGCCCCGCGGGACCCGCTTGTGGCCCCGCGGGGCACGCTCGTAGCCCCACGGCCGCGCCTCTCTGCGCCCTCCAGCGAGCGCACCGACTCCGACGAGCCCGCGCACTGTCTCTACAGGAACTCTGGCAGGGTAAGGGTACCTTAAAATATTTATTATCTTATATCTACGTTTTACTTAAAGTTTACGGTTTTTGTAATTAATAATTATAATTAATCATGAGAAAGCAAAATATAAATCTCTATAATTTGCTCGGATGATGTTGCATTGACACACAAAATGAAGAACAGAATTTAGTGCTTTTTTAAATGTTGGTTCCATTAACTTCTTTTATATATTTTTTATCTAGTTTCAAAAACTAGCTGAATAATGGTGTCAAGAGTTTCACAATGTGCCTTCATAAGATTCTACACTAGTCACAAAAATTAAACGATATAAAAAAAATATCAAAACTTGGGTGATTTTCAACAAGCTGTAACTCCGAGGAAAATGATCATACAGCAAATAAAAATAGCAAATTTTATCTAGTTTTCAGATCTGGCCATGACATTGTTTTATCATGTTTGGGTTAGGAGTGATCCTACTGAAACTACTAAAATTTTTTTTTTCATATTTTTGCTCACCTTAAAAAAGGTCTACGGGCTTCCAAAATTTTTTTTAATATTTCACTAAAAAGTTTTTTAGGAAATTTAATGCCTTTTAATTTGACCTAATCAAAAAGCTTTTACGATGATTTGCCGCGGAGTTATCGTCAATCACAGCAAAAAAAATCTTTTTAACATTGATGATTAATAACTGTTCGCGACGGCCTAACGACTTTAAGAAACTAAGTAATGAAGGAATATTGTTTTGTATAAAAAGTGAAATTACCAACGAAATCGAGCAAATAGTTTGTTAATATAGTTTTACAGTGTGTTTACAACTATTAATATATTTGTATAGAATGTCGTTTTAATAATAATTAATATAAACAACTTTAATCGTTTAAGAAAAAATCGACAAATCACAGCGCGTCATATCGTACTCGTAGAACTTTCTGGAAATTTAATTAACTGCGCAATAGTTAATACTAAAAATAATCTGAATATTTTTGTGTTCTAAAAGAGTTGTTTAATATGACATTTAGTTAGCATATGGTATATAAATTACGATAGTGAAGAAATAATTTGTATAATTAAACGCATTTGGTAGTTATAGAAAAATTTAAGTATTAATGTACCCATTTGTTATGAAAATTTGGGACATTTCGTTTAATAACTTTTTAAAATGTAAATATATTGAATAACCTTTCTCATATACTAATAAAGGACCAAAATGCCGATTTAATGATGTTTAGCATATTAGTGTAAGATTTAACCTTATATAGAAAATATTACAATTTATGCTAATTACATAGTGAAAATGTTTTAAAATAAAGAGGCAAAACGGAAAATAGCAAGCGGCTCACTATACAGTATAGCCGAAGTCTACCTTATGGGGGCGAAACCCAGTAACGTTGTAGTAGGAAGAACTACCAGTGACAAGCAGTAGTATCTGGTAGTGGTAGCTGAAGTGACTAGTAGCAGAACATAGTGAACAGTGATAGTGAATTAGAAAAAGTGTTAGCTAGCCGAAGAAGGTCGTAACTGAAAATCGCAGATACACATAGCCGAAAAAAGTGGCAACTGAAAATTCGCAGTTGCATATAGTAAAAAAGTGTTAGCTAGCCGAAAAAAGTGGTAACTGAAAATTCGCAGTTACATATCGTGAAAAAGTGTTAGCTAGCCGAAAAAAGTGGTAACTGAAAATTCGCAGTTACATATCGTGAAAAAGTGTTAGCTAGCCGAAAAAAGTGGTAACTGAAAATTCGCAGTTACATATAGTGAAAAGTGTAAGCTAGACGAAAAAAGTGGTAACTGATATTCGCAGTTAAACAAGTGATAAAATCAACTAGTTTTAGTTGATTAATAGCTGCTAGTCAGTAGTGTTAGAAAACCAAAACCAGCTACTACCAATAGATGTTTTTAATACTACCAATAGATATTTTGATACTACCAATGGATATTTTGATACTACCAGTAGATATTTTGATACTACCAATAAATATTTTGATACTACCAATAGATATTTTGATACTACCAATAGATATTTTAATACTACCGCACATTTTAATTAAATCTTTTGAAATATATAGTGACCGACCAATAGTGAACAACCGTATTCAACAACCGTGGTCAATAAATAATAATTATATAATTTCGCGACTAATAAATCAGTCGAACCGCTGGCCACACCCTTGCTATTTGAATTTATAAATCGTGCATTTTAATTTTGAACCTCAGTCCACAGTTTTCCAGCAGCACACACAGAGACGGCAGTGAAAGTATCCTCCGGAACCTATAGGTGTAGGACGTGAGCGACTCGCGGAGTATCTTCGACAACATTTACTCCGGAGAGATACGCCCGTCCGGCACATTCGCTGGTCCTTCGAGCCGGATTCTTCATCTGTTTGTATTTCGGAACCGGATACATAGTCACTACCGTATTAAAGTTGCAGAATTTTCAGAATCAAGATGCCGATCACTCGTTCGCAAGGAAGGGGAGCCATGGCGTGGACCGTCGGTCTGGAAGGAGGTCCGTCGGACAATACCGATGCCGTCCGCCACCAGATGCCACCAAGCTCACCGTCGGCAATAGAAGGCGCTGAGGCGCCATCTTGCCCCCGCGAAGGGGGGGTACTCCTGCCCGTTCCGGTCACTGCAACCGGGACACTGAAGCAGAGGGAACAAATAGAAGGCAACGATGACATTAGCTGTGCATCACCGCCAACAGCCCGGGAGGCCACCCCGATAGAAGTACGAAGTCAAAGAAGACTATTCAGCCCAATAGAAAAACATTAAAGGCTCGTGAAGAAGTGTTGAGAATCAAATTGGAACTCGCACAGATTTCCTTACAGATGGCTGAAGAAGAAGATGAATCGGACGACTATGATGAAGATGGTCACTCCAAAAGTGAGTACGTCCGATCTTGGCTCGAAAATTCCGTAGCCAAGCAAAAGCCAACTCAAGGCGCAACCACCGGAGGGGAGGCCCCACTTAATAAAACCGTCACAAAGCCACCCCCGGAGGTTGTCGACCTCAGTGAGCCGGAGAAGAAGCTCACAAACCAGGAATCCAGGGTTGATGAAGACAGGGAGCTCCTACCAATTATATCAGAGCTCACCTACCAGGATCCCTATCTGGAAGATGTACCCAAGAACCCATGCCACAGAAGATTAGCCAGGACTCCAAGGTTGATGAAGACAGGGGGCTCCTACCAATTGTATCAGAGCTCACCTACCAGGATCCCTATCCGGAAGATGTACCCAAGAATCCCATGCCAAAGAAGCCTAACCAGGCACCTGTCATTAATGAAGACAGAGGGCTCCGACCATTTATATCGGAGCTGACATCCGCTATAGCCGCACTCGCATACTCCGCACACCGCGATGCACATACCGAATGACTTTCGTTCCGTGCCATTTACGAAACAACCCGAGGCTACTTCAATGATATCGAAAATACTGCAAGACTACAAAGAAGTCTACAAGGAAGAGCCTTGGAAACAGTCAGCTCAGAACTCATCGGGCATGCTAAGCCAGATGAGATTATGCGAGAACTGTAGCTACAATTTGGGCGTCCAGATTCAATTGCACAAGCCGAAACAGAGAAATTACGAGGATTACCACGCTGTACAGATGCACCTAGAGACATCTGCACATTCGCGAGCAAAGTGAGGGGAAGCGTCGTCACTCATCGAGCACTCAAACGAGACCATTACCTCGTCAACGCAGAGCTGCTACGACACCTCACCGACAAATTGCCAAACTCTATACGTGCACAGTGGTATAGAATCTACACCGAAAAATACGACTCTAGACTAGACCTCGGTTCCTTCAGCGAGTTTATCACCGAACAAGCTCGCTTCTGCAGTGCATTTGCGCCTCCTGAAATTATAAACGGAGCGCAGAGCAATCGTTCAGTACACAGAACACACGCGGCTACCCTAAGCCGTCTCCGAAATGCAGAGTGTGCGAAAAGGAAGGTCATTACGGATCCGACTGTAATAAATTTAAAGAAGCAGATGTCGATAAAAAATGGGAAATTGCAAAACAAAGTAATTTATGTTTCCGCTGTTTACGCTACAGAAATCAAACACACAAATGCAAAATCACGTCAATCAAAGTGTGGCATAAAAGGATGCACCGCGACATAAAATCGACTTCTCCACCATAATAAAAAGGAGAAGACAGAGGTCACACAAAAAGAACCTCAAGAAACCGTGGCTAACTCATTCGCTGTGTCAAAGCGTCACGCCTACCTAAAAATAATTCCAGTTCGAGTAATTGGACCGGCGGGAGCTGTAAACACACACGCCCTGCTGGATGATGGGTCAACAGTCTCATTAATGGATGAAGAGATTGCCAAACAAATCGGAGCTACAGGGCGGTTGGACCCATTTAAGATCACCGCTATCGGGAACACTACACTCGATTCACCGGACTCCCGAAGAATCAAAGTTTCGCTGAAGAGCACGCACGGTCGCCAGCCTAAACTTGGGGCCACAGACTGTGTGTGCAGCAGATATAGCAAATTGCAAGCATTTAAAAGACCTGAAGGAGCAATTAACATATGACTCCGGCAACTCAAGGATCCTAATAGGATAGGACAATTGGAGACTTCTGATAGCCACTCAAGTCCGCAGAGGTCCGCCGCACCAGCCAGTCGCCCCGCTCACAGAACTAGGATGGGTGCTACACGGGGCACACACTAAAGCCCGGTATCAGCGCGTCCACGCGGCCAATGAACTGCACAAGAGCGAGTGTTTACGCCAGAACGGTGGTTTCGGCTAACAAAAACGCTTTACGCGTTCTCAACACCCACCGCTCGACCGACGTCAAAACCGGTATGGCACCGAGCCGCGCGCCCTCTGACGTCGATTCCGAAACCACTGTTCGGGCGTAAACAAACCCCCGTCCCGGACATAAGGATTTAGGTCAGGGACAGGGTCGCGACGACAAGTTACAAGACCGGATCTCCAACCAAACTAGGCCACCTTAGGTACCCCATCAGGTCTTGCAACCCTAACCAACGCCTCAAAATTACAACCCCAAT